CAACCAACTTGTCACTAGCGCGTAAGCATCGTTATACCTCTTTTGGGAAAATTTTTCAAAATATCGACCGTTATTAGACCTTTATAGCATCTCTTTCCTTGACAATTGGAATAGTCACGCTATCCTCAATAAAAGCAGATTCCTCATTTTCATACATGTCCTGACTGTCATGCGGATAGAATATATCGGCCAAATGATCCGTAAACGCATTTGGCTTGCTTTTTCAGCTTTTGCCCACGTTCCATCCTTGTATTTAATAGGAGAGAATAGATGTTTGATATTTTGCTTCATTTTGTTTATTGCCTTCCACAGTAAGTAATTGGTTTTCTCACACGCCGTCAAATTTTGAGCATAATTGACAATCGAATCCTCCTTGTGTTTTCTAATACAGCGTCTTAGTTGCTGCGATTCACGATTATATCTGGGTTTATCAGTAGGACCCCACGTTTGCTGCCTCCTCATTCTCGCCGACCTGCTTTGTCTTACTTTTGGTAGTATATGTGAGGGATATTTAATGCCACCCCCTCTAATAGCATTAATTTTGGAACTACTCCAAGCCGTATTTTGAATAATTGTAGTAAAATTTTCGGCTTTCTCATCTATCTGCTAGGTCGTTCTTATTCTTTTCCTTAGATCTATTTGTCGTTCAATCTCTAAACGAAATTTTGACCAATCTTTAGTTACATTTGTGAGCCAGGCTTCTCTCTTTTCATTACAATATTTTGCTTAAGTTTAAGAATAACCACTAAATGATCGAAGTTAAGATCATAGTTATCATGTACCTCAATGAAGTTTTTCGCATAATCCGTTTTGTTATGAAAAATCTATTAAATCTGGACACTTATTAATATCGGTTGGCCAATACGTTGGCTTCACAGTAGAGTCAAAAATGACCCGCGCGCCGCCAATCGCTGTCCTAAGTTCTCTTCCTTTAGTTGATGTATGCCATGAACCCCAATCAGTGTGTTTGGCGTTAAAGTCAAGTTTTGAAACAATTCTGCCGTTATTTTAAATCTGGGGTTACAATATAATGCAGCCACTCTAAATTTTTGCTTAGTCGAAGTGATCTGAACCGCCCTCGTTTGCATTCCCTCGGCTTACATCTGGTGCACATCACAATGCGCTATATATTCTTTTATTATTATCGCCGTTCCGCCTTTCGCTATATTTCCAGGGTGACTTGAGTTGTAAATTCTATAACCTGGAAACTGAATCTTAAAGTCATATGTGTTTCAGTTATGAGGCATACGTCTATATTCTTCACGTCTGTATTCTATTAGAAAAACTTCAAGCATGTCCTTTTTATTTGCAATAACATTACAATTCCTATAGTTGCTATTTTAAAATTACCTCGTGTCAACATTTACCAGGTCTTTTGGGATTCGATTTTTTCCCTCGCTCTCTAAAATGCTCAACCTCTAAGAAATTTTGTCCTTCATATCTAGCATTTTTTGCATCATATTTTGCATTTTATGCAAAACATTCACGTCACTAGCCCTTGCTTTATTGCTCGTGCCACTGTCATCGGTTTTCGTTTGGAGAACGTCCTTGTATGTTATATCTTTTGAGATTAGAAACAGTTTTTGACATCCAATTTTCACCGTATTTCCCTCTAAATCAAATTAATTTCTTTTAATCAGCTATTTCTTGAAATTAATAAAAGTTTTTTGGAAATTTTGAACATAGATAAAATAAAAATAACTATTGATTTAAAGTGAGTATATGGTACCTTTTTGCAATAAAGTCATTAATACTTTATAACCTCAAAAAGTGTATAAATATCTGCGATTGCAATCACTGGATTGACTGCTTCACTGGATCAATCAATATAAGTGATAATAGTTTTTTCGATCTCTGGGATATTTATTTTATTTAGAGAGAATTATTACTTTATTAAAAATATTAAAGTTTAACAAGCACATTTTTCAGATGTTATAAAGATCTCTTTAGGGCAAAATAAAAAGGAAGCAAAATAACGAATAAAGATATAGCTAGGAAATCAGTGACAATTCTAAATTTAGGAATGTCATTCTGTTGAAAGATGTTACAAAATTATATAACTATATAATTTATGTACTTATGTTTGTTATAAAATTTTGTTTCAATTCGATGCCTATTAAAACTTTGCAATAAGGAAATAAGGAATAATGGAAAAAGACTTCACAAAGTTACTTCACAGCTTCATGTTTTTTTACATTTTTGGTAGAAAAAGCATTTTTCTCCAAGTTTATTATATTTTTCCGTTAACTTCGAAAAGGGAAATATTTTTGATCCCTTTTGAAGTCGCATATATAAAATGAGAATACACAATTGATTTGACATTTGGAAAACAAGAAATATACCGTGAATTGTGTATATATGTATTAATGAGTACTCGTATTAATGTATCCATAGTTAATGTTAATCTAACTCATGCATATTTATAATTTTATACATTATTCATGTATACATGCATCACCTACACATTTAATTAATTTAGGTATACAATTCCGCAAATATAAAAAGGAATTTTAAATTTGCAGTATCCGACGATTTGCAGAAGTGAGCATATTTAGTAAATATTAAACTAAATTATCAAAATGTTGCTTTAAAAAAGCAATATATATATTATACATAATATATTTAATTTAAATTACATACTTATGATACGATAAAAAAAAATCCCTTTTTTTAATCTTGTATTTTCCTACAATATTTTTAGTTAGATATTGTTACATTTAATTTTAGAATGTACATACGAGTCGTACATACATATATATGTATACGGGAATTAAGTATATCCCATTATTAAAGAAAGCTCTGCGACTTCATATTTACATAATATATGAATCTATGTATGTATAATAACTTATGTATAAACAGTGTTCCCACTCGGTAAAAACAAAATGTATTCAATTTCGAGATAAAAATGTAACCAAAATGTATCCAACCTCTTAAAATAGCATTATTATACTAAGTCGTCTTATTTTGTACAAATTAACCCATAATTAATAATAATTTGTTTTATTTCACAATATGAGTTTTGTTATTTATAGTAAATTCTTTAAGAAATCACATACAACTTTTATTTCATTTTAAATGTAAAAATTAAGGTAAGAAAAGCATATGTATGTATGTGTTCCATAGTTGTTGAACTATGCGCTAGAGACGATCACCATGAAAACGGACAAATTTTAAAAAATATATACAGCCAAAAGCTTACACTAAAATACACTTACACCTAGTTTACACTAAAATATTTCTGGTACGTTCTTGTATAATGAATACAGGAAGAGGCAGTTAATAAAGTATCTTTTTTACTTTCTTCTAAAAAATTTGGAAACCTGCTTAGAAAAGCCAGTAAAAAACATTTCTTGAAGAAAGCAACTTCGCGATTTAATATTAGCAGCATTTTAACGGTTTTGTAATATTTATTTAGTGTTTGAAAAAAAAATGTATCCATATTTCAGAAAAATTTTAATATGTAGCCAACTTCGGCATTCTAGCAGATTTGAGTATCTTTATATCCAAGTTCAAATTTAAAGCAAAAATGTATCCAAGTGGATACAATTGTATCCAAGTGGGAACGCTGTGTATGAATACATAATATATGAATGTATGTATAATAAATTGTAGATACGTAAAACAAATTATACAAATTTAATATAATATATTAGATGCTAAACATGTAAATGAATGTGAATAAATAAAATCAGTTAAAATATCAACTTTATTATAATCTGTTAAATCGCTAGACTTTGGAGGTCTATCAAAAATAAGATTTTACGTCAACCTTACTTTGTTGAATTTTGGTACAATATTATATAGAAAATAAAATTCATTCCGGAATTGTTTACAGAAATATCAAAGTAAAATCAAATCAGCTCGATAATCTTTTGGTGGTATACGCTGCTCAGTTTTCTTTGAGCATTTGTGTTGCTTTCCTTTATTTTTTTATGATATTGATATTTTGAGGTGACGTTTTTTGTTGTCATTTCGTTTACTTAAATGCTTGATAAAAAGTGGAATGTAAACTTGACGACAAAAAGTGTGCACTTACTTAGACGCCCTTAAGTGTCTTTTTATTGAAAATATTTAAGTTTTGTTAAAAAAACTTTTTCAAAGATTAATTTTAAAATAAAAGATATCTTGTGGTACGGTCTCATCTTAAATATAAAAATTTTATTATACATTTAAACAAAAGAAAATAATAACGGAAAACAAAATGAGAATTCTGCTCGGAATTTTATATTATATTATATTTACGTATTTATATTTTAATTGGTTTCTCAAAAATTAAGAGAAAATTTCCTTTTCTCAAAAGAATTTTTTTTTCTGTAAACGATTTTAAAGTTTTATTAGGAATTCCCCTTCTCACTACATTATCATTTAACTTGAAAACAAAATTTTCATTCTGTTCATGAATTCCATTTCCATATGATGATATTCATAAAATTGGGAAAATATATTAAAAAATTCCCTTTTAAATATTCTTGCCAGAATACAAAACTGAATATACATAAATACAAAAAAAATCCAATATTTATGCTAAATTTTTTTTTAATGTTAAAAGAAAATGGAAATAAAAGCTTGATTAATTCTGATTGTGGAATAGATTTATGTTGTTTATTATCAAAAGAGGAGCAAAATTGTTTTTAAAATTGCCTGTTTTATTAGAAAATATGAATTTCCATATTACAACATATAATGCATTGGCAACATTGATATAGAATAATGATAAGAGAAATACAAATTAACTGTGAATGTAATGTAAAAACTGATGCGTATTTATAAATTAAATAAAGTTAAGATTAAAAACCAGCAAATAACGAAGTTAGAGAGAATGTAGGAAAGAGAAAGAGAGATAAAAAGAGAGAAAATTATAGGAATGGGAAATTGATAAAAATTACCGTACTTGATTGCACACATTCACACACTATGGTATAAAATTAAATAAATTGAAATTTAGCAGATTTTTTTTCAAATAAATTCCCATCTTTTCAGTTGAGTTTAATCCGTTGTATCGTTCGGTTATAAGGAGTAAAATTTTTTTTGCGAATTTATCAAAAAATATATATTTTTTTTTTTGAACTGAATACAGTAAATTTTTACAGAAAAAACTAGGTAGCCTATGTACTGATTTATAAGAAAAGAAAAACCTATTTAAATTTTATACCAAAATGGAGTGGATGTTTTACAAAGAAAAATTAAAAAAGGATAATTTCAACAAAATAGGATTAATTTTCTTCATTAGCAAATAGAAAAAAAGTGATTTGTGAGAATTAAGAAATAAAGAAAAGTGTGTTTTTGGTAAAGAAAACTTCAAAATTTTTATTTATTTTATAAAATTCTTCAAATTATGAAAAATTAAACAAAACATACATATATACATATGTATGTATACCCATGTAGAAAATAAAATTTTTTAAAATTAGTATAAAATACGATAAAATTTCCGATATTAAAAATCAAAATTTTTGGTTTTCTTTTTGTTTTTGTGTGCTTTATAAAATTTTATGATAATTTTTTTGTATTTTTTTTGTAGTTTGGTTTCAGTAGTACAAACTGAAAATATATTTTAAGGTTAAAACCGGTTTATCTCCTATATTATGAATGTGTGTCCATATCACAAATTTTGAGTGAAAAAAACATTCTACTCTCTATTAAATTGGCAAAAAAGAAAAAACAAAATAATAATAAGTAAAATACTAAAAATTGTGGAATTTCTTGAATTTTTTAGTAGTATAGCATTGCCAGTAGTTGGTATATTAATATTGCAGAATGCAGAAATTTTCATGCATTTATACAGGAATTTACAGAAAAAAATTGATAGGATGAAACATGAAAAATTAAAGTCAAAAGGAAAATATGAAATGAAAAACAGTCAATTCAGTTAGGTTGATTTTTTGTTATTTTTTTCAGATTTATTAATAATTTAAAAAAGTATGTACACATATGTGTACATGATACTTTTGTAAATGATTAATAAATCTGACTGTATGGGTACAAACATACACACTTGTAACGAAAAAGTTAATTTACTTGTAAAAATAGGTGTGCATATATAAAAATATTTATGTATATTTTAAAAGGATATAGGTATTCAAGTAATTTTAAATAAAAACATTTACCATTGCATTTAATTAACTTGTACACTTTTGTTTAACTCTTAATTAAAAACATTGCTATATATGTAAATGTAATAAGATAATATTAATATACCAGTAATATACATATGTATGTAGTTAATTACTACTTTTCTAATTCCAAAATTTCAACAAATAGTATTTGGATAAAATTCATTGTCGGTTTATTTTATATCATATATGCCCGCTACTCTATTTGTTACCTTTATTGGTTTCATATTAAAATATGTAAAGTTATGATATCTGATTCTAATTAAAAATTCTGTATTAAATTTAATTATAAAGAAATGAAGTTTACATTGTACATAAATCCCTTTTTCACATTTATTCAGAGAAATAGAATAACAATCCAAAGTCCGAGTCATATTGCTTTTACTTAAACTATTTTGTTGAATTTAATAAATTTCACCTATTGTTTTACCATTGTGTATATATATGTATGTATGTAGTTTATAAAACTTTACAGGGGATAATGTTTGCAATTACTGAACAAACTTCTTTTTTAGGCGTTAGAGAGTATTAAGTTTTTTAATTTTAATTAGCACTACTCAAAAATGGTAGTTTTATTACGTATGTAATTACATACAAAAATTATCTTCTACCTATATAGAATTGTAAACAATACACCCAATGGTTTAACGCAATATTTGGATCTTCATGCACCTGCATAGCATTTGTGAATGGTCTGTTTGAATCGATAATCGAATGATACAACGACGAAATTATTTCTGAAAATTTTTTCAGAAATAGAAAGAGTTTTTTTCGTTTAACGTCATAATATAGTTTATAAAATTCATACTTAAAAGAAATTTAATTTAAATTTTTTTTTAGTTTTATTATAATTTAAATTGAATTAATAATTTATTATTCTTACTTATATTTTGGTAAAACTTATTCAATTGCCGTGCGACATTTAAAAATTCCAGAGAATTATCTAATAATTAATTTCGAACAAATTTTATTGAATATTTTGGGACTGTTTGCAAAAAAATTGGATTAAGAAAACAGTGGACAAAAATATATAATAATTAACTCAATAACAAGGGAATAAATTACTTGTAAAAATAGGTGATAAAGTGTTGCACATAACCTCACTATATGAGTTTAAATTTTATACACATGTAATTAATTTGCAAATGAAATATAGTAATTACATATTATGTAATTATTTCAAAGAGATAAAAAATAAGTGTTTTATCAAAGTTATTAACATAAATATTGGTGCTTCTCTTTGTATTGAATAATTTTAAAAATAAATTTTAAACAAAAAGTTGCGATAAAATTTTTAAAAAATTAATAAATACATACATAAATAAATACATAATTAAATTTTTTCTTATATACATATATGTATGTATGTACATACATGCATATTTACTTTCATGCACATGTTTAGTTGGATATCTTAATTTATAAATGAAAGCAACTGTGTAATGTTAAAAATTATTAAAAATAATAAAAAAAAATTGTTTACTTAGTTGTATAAGAAAAAAGTAAATAAATTAAATGTGTTTTAATTAATTCTAATAAGAAATAAGTGGTGTAGTATACTCATTTTTTCGATAATATTTAAATATTTAAGCAAAATAGAACTTAATAAGGAATAGTGCTAAAAATTTAATGTTTGAAAATTATTAAAAGCTTGTATGGAAAATTCTTGAAAATCGAATTGTATTTGAAAATTATAAGGTAATTGCTCTTATTTTTATCTTAAATTACATTTTATTTTATCTATTTTAATACAACATTATAATTATAATTTATTTTTTCCTTATACATACATATATATAGGTACATACATATACGTACTTTCATATATTATATGAAAATTGAATGGCTTAAAAGTAAAGTTTTGTAATAAATACAAAAAGTGTGTTGCATGAATTAAGAATTTTAGTATGGAACATATATATTAATATTATTGTATGTTTAGTGAAGATTGTCAGCATATTATTATTGTATGTGTATCCTTTGGTCGGGAATGTTTATCTTGTCCCCTATTTTGAATGTTTCAAAGTAATAATTATGTGTATATAGAAGTACGTATAAAATGAATAGATATAAATTTCTGAGCAGGTTCATTTCTGCAGATTTGATACTGGCACATATGAGATATATTTACATTTATTTAAACAAATGTACTTAACCTTTAAAGTACGAGGTGAAAATTCCTCGAGTTTATATTACAGCTCGCTCCGAGCTTCTCCATAAGTGTTTTACGCACAATAACAAAAATAACATTTAGTAAGAGAGCATAAACAGTATCAAGAGAGCATAAAACAGTATATGAAAGTCTGGAGAGAAAAATATATGGAAGTATGTAGTTACAAATGAAGCGGAAGGTGTAAAATTTACTACCACCTCGTTGGTTAGAGGTTAAATAAATTACGGAATTTAATGAATTACAAAAGTACTTTCGAACTCATATTTATGATAAATCCATATTTCTATTTAGTATAGAATGTGAATTAATTTCCATCTATTTCTAATACAGGTGGTAGTTTTACAAGTGAACAGCTACACTATCGTTTCAGATTTGCCTTTTTCTATATTGAAACTCCTTTATATTTTATAGTTTAGCGTACAGTGTGTTGTCAAGAAATTTGGGAGCTATGATTATATATTACACATTTCTAGTTAATTATGTAAAAGCACATAAAAAGTTATTGGTTAATTAACATTATATTGGTAAAACAAAAATATTCAAATATAGTGTTGTAACGCTCAACAAAAAAAGCCTTTGAAATAGTGCCATTAATTGAAAAATAATTTTGAACTCTGTCACCAAAGTATTTTATAATTATTTTAAGATAATCAAGTAACAATTTTAAAAGGCGCCATTTACAAAATTGAACTTGTAAACAAGTCACATAATTTAATACACGTACATAAAATGTGTATGAAAGCGAAAGTAAAGTGCACACTCATATTTGGGAATTCAAATTGGAATATAAAATTTTTATTTTTTTTTTTGTCTTGTTAAATTTCTAATCTTAATTCCACTAAAATTATTCATTTTTTCCGGGTGGAGTTTTCCATTATTTTAATTTCGCTTGGTTTTCAAAATACTTTATCATTCGAAATATTTTACAACTTGTGGCTTGGAACTGAAAAAATAAAATAGTTTTGCTCTGCGATTAAGTGAACTTGTGCATGATAAGATAATTATAAAAAATATGTGATAATTTATAAATATTCTTTCCTCTCTCTCTAAATGTTTGTACTTACGATGGTTTATGGTTACTAAATGAATAAGTGTTGATAAGAATAAGTAATAATTGATGGGAAAATTATTTTAAATGGTCAAATTATTTAATGACCTTGTCGATATCAGCAGTGTTATTTTAATTAAATAATTTCAAGATTTCTGTTATTTTATTTAAGTGAGACTTGTGTTTGACATTTTAACTTACTTAAATTAAAATCTGATGATGCCTGTGCTTTCTAAATGAATTAAACAACAAATTTTTATTCTGAAACTTTTACTATTGCAAGAGAATGTACATACTTTCTGTTATTATCTCTTTCGAAATTAATTCAATTCAAAACTAAAAACTAACATTTTTAACAAAAATGCCAGTTTCGTAAAGAACGAATAATTTTTGTTTAACGTTCTTCCTACTTCTTACAATTTACAATATTTAACTATCTGTTTAAAAACATCGCGCTTTCTGACTTGAAGAGAAAGGTTTTATTTGGTATAATAACGTGCATAAAAATGATTACGTTAAAAAAATATTTGTAAGTAAAAAAAGGGAGTAAAGTAAAACGGTATTGGAATAACAAAGGTTTAAGCAAACAAATGGTATCATTTTAGAACGGGTTTGCTCAAAAAAATTTCTTTTTTGAAAAAGCTCACCTCCGCACCTATTCCGTTTAAAGCATATATTAAGCTTTTTAGGAATATGTTTAATTTTTTTAATACTTATTTATGAAAAAATGTTTCTGCACTTATTGGTGATTCAAAGACTTATGTTTGAATGCATAAGCTATAAATTGATGTTGTTTAAGATAAGTTTAGTACTTGGTAATATATGTTTCGATGCCATGTTTTTTTGGCCAAATAATTATTGATTTGGTTATTATGATATGTGACAGTTTTTGACCACAGCGGCCTTGTTTTATCCTCTAATAGATCCAACATTAACAAATCTTTTTAAATTAGTTCATACCAAAAAAATGGCCGCAATATAATAAAAATTTATGCTAAGTGTATGTTCTGATTAAATTGAAGTTTTTATTAAAATGAGTTTACAGATCTTAAAAGTTTTAAGTATCTAAGTTACGTATTTTAGGTTCTTATGAAATATGACTCGTGTTTATATTTTATGCGCATTTTATATATTTTTTATTATTGTAAATTTAAACATTTTGTTTTATTTCAAATACTAAGAGCCGACTTCCCACACAAATATTTGAATCACACGTCAAATTTTCTCTGAACTTCTTTGTTTTTCACTATTTCAATTTTAATTGAAATAAAAAGTTTTGGTGTTGTAATAACAATTATATTATTATCACGATAAAAAAACAATGAAAAAGGCACGCACTAATATTAAAAAAAAACATTATTTTCCAAAATTTCCTGTAAAGTAAATTATACTCGACCCTTAAAATTAAAACTTCCTTCTATAAAGATATAAGCTATTTTATTTTTGCAACATTATTTTATCTGCCTAATTTACATTCATTTATCCAAGTAAAATTTATTAAATTTAAATTAATGTCCTTCAAATACTTGCGTAAACGTGCAGCTAGCGTTAAGGTAAGATAAAGATTGTAAAAACACATTTACATCAAGTGTGTATACATAAAAAAAAATCTTTTAAACAAGTATAAACTCAGTATACTTCGTTCAACCTACACTTGAAGGTTCAATGACTAACACTATCTAGTTTATTTCGTTAGATTTTCTTTAATCTAAAAAATTTATATATAACTTTTACATAGTCTTTTAAGAACCACAAAAAGTAGAAACAGGGAAAAGTAAAATAAACAATAAAATAAATTAGAAGTTAACCGGTCAAACTTTAGGGTAACGTTCAGAAGTTTTTTGGTTTATTTTTGTTTTAACACTGATGAATGTAAGATAAAATAAGCTCAAACGACAAATATAGAAATGTTGTCATAGGATTTTTTCTGCTAAATAGAATTACATTTTAACTATAAATCGATTAGCATCTTAGATTTCATTATATACACGCAATTTTAATGAAAAATTGAAAAATAATGCCCAAGTGAATCATATGTTTGTCCTTGGTAGAAAAATAAACAGGATTTTAGACAATTTTATTTTATTGAATTCATTGACGATTATACAAGAAATAATAGCCTTAATTTATTTTTGTATTTCTAAATTTAATTGGAAAAATGCTAATAAATTGATTCGGGAGATGTGGATGTAAAAATAAGAAATTAGAGTTTTCTTTCAAATTAAATCTAAACTCTAGCATCTCATTTTAAAATGACACTCGGTGATGCTAATTGGAATAGTTTTGATAATTTTTGAAGCAAGCTTATTAATGAACTACGACCATATGAAGCTAAAAATTTATTTCAATCTTCTTAGTCAAGACTTTCATTACATTTACATTATTTTTCTTTAGTATTTATATTTATGTATGTTGAGAAAAATTATGAATGGTATATAAAATATATGAGGCTCTAAAAAAAAATAATAATAATTTGCTAAAAAGGACGATTTTTTTGTTTAAAAGAGAAAATACGAAAATGACTTAAGCATAGTCGTTCATGTATTTATCATTTTTGTTGACGACGGTTCGTGATGAAATTTCTTGAAAGGAAAATATGAAAAAAAAAGTAAATAAATAGAATAAAAACCCAACAGGAAAATATCCATTTGTCTTTCTTAAAAAATATCAGATGATGATGACTTTGGTTATATTTGTATGAATGTATACATAACTCTATCTATACAATCACATTATATATGAACATGTGTAAAGATATATAATATGTGCATATATATATACATATTTTTATATAATGTTTTTTGGGTAGTGCTGAGTTTATCTGTACAGATATAATAGATACATGCACGAATATCCTTAGCAATCCTTAAAATAAAAAATAAAACGTATTATAAAAAGAAAACTGAATACGAAATGACTACAAGGGTTTTATAACAACAATAACAGCAACAAAATAAGATCTGTAATAATTATTTTTATAATAGTAGAGAAAGAAAGGACCATTATTGTTATTTCTATTACTTACTCTTTGTTTTCTCTTTATTTTATTTTATTTGTTTCCATTTTTATTGTTTCTTTTTTGTTGGATTCAACGGGATAAAAAATACTTGGGTATTTTTTCAAATTTTTTTGGTTTTCTTTTATGTCACTTTTTTCTTTTTTTTTTGTACTTTTCGAGAAATTTAAAAAAAAAAATTTTTAACTTTAAGTTTAAAATTTAAGTTTTCTAATACGATGAGTACTTACATACATTTATTTGGAAAATATTCAAGAATCTAAATCAAACAGTTAAGTATGGGTGATTAACTTGAAACCACAAAGGTGTAAATTTGGGAAAGTTTTTCCGGTGTAATACCTCAAATATCTAAATTTTACATCGAATTTTTTTATTTACGTTTAGAAACGTAAATATTTAATTTTATTTTGTTATTTATATTTTTTAATTAGTTCTCAATACATTCATTCCCATATTAAACA